CGGCCACTGCACTCCAGCCTGGGCGACAGAGCGAGACTCCGTCTCAAAAAAAAAATAATAAAAATAAAAATAATAAATAAATAAGAAAACAAAATACGTGTTGAAGGATGTGGAGCAACTGGAACCCTTCTGCATTGCTGGTGGGAATGTCGAATGGTGTGGCTGCTATGGAAAACAGCATGGTGGTTTCTCAAAAACATTCAACGTAGAATTACCATAGATCCAGGAATTAGATCCAGGAATTCCACTTCTGGGTATATGTCCAGAAAAACTGAAAGCAGAGACTCAAAGAGGTATCTGTAAACATTTTAGTATTATCTACAATAGTCAAAAGGTAGAAACAACCCAAGTGTCCATAGACAGATGGATGAATAAACAAAATGTGGCCTATACATATAATGGGATACTATTCAGCCTTAAAAGGGAAGGAAATCCCGACTCATGCTACAACATGGATGAACCTTAAGGATATTATGCTGAGTGAAAAGCAGCCAGTCACAAAAGGAAAAATACTGTCTGATTCCACTTATATGACAGAGGTCCCAAGAGTAGTCAAATTCACAGAGACAGAAAGTACAATGGAGGTTGCCAGGGAGAGGCAGGAATGGAGAGTTGTTTAACGGGTGCGAGAGTTTCAGTCAGAGGAGATAAAAAGGTTGTGATATGGGGCCGGGCATGGTGGCACATGCCTGTAATACTAGCACTTTGGGAGGCCAAGGAGGGCAGATGACTTGAGGTCAGGAGTTTGAGACTAGCCTGGGCAACATAGTGAGACCCCATCTCTACTAAAAATACAAAAATTAGCCAGGCATGGTGGCAGGTGCCTGTAATCACAGCTACTTGGGAGGCTGAGGCAGGAGAATCGCTTGAACCTGGAAGGCGGAGGCTGCAGTGAGCCAAGATCAGGCCACTGCACTCCAGCATAGGCAACAGACTGAGACTCTGTTCCAAAAAAGAAAAAAGAAAAAGTTCTGGGAGCGGGGCCAGGTGCAGTGGTTCACACCTGTAATCCCAGCACTTTGGGAGGCGAAGGTGGGCGGATGGCTTGAGGTCTGGAGTTTGAGACCAGCCTGGCCAACATGGCAAAGCTCTGTCTCTACAAAAAATACAAAAAAATAGCTGGGCATGGTGGTGCATGCCTGTGGTCCCAGCTACTTGGGAGGCTGAGGTGGGAGGATCCCTTGAATCTGAGAGGCAGAGGTTGCAATGAGCTGAGATTGTGCCACTGCACAGAGCCAGACCCTGTCTTAAAAAAATAGTAATAAAGTTCTGGGATAACGGTTGCACAAAAATGTGAATGTACTTAATGCCACTGAACTGTACACCTAAAAATGATAAAGATGATAAATTTCATATTATGTAGATTTTACAATTAAAAATAAGAAGATGAGCATGGGCCAGCTCATCAGGAGTCTTTTATGCAATGCTAAGGACCTGAGACATCATCTTAAAAAGACTGGATAGCATCAGGAAAGATTCTGAAGGAGACTCAGGGGTTAAAAGAGAATTCCCTGTGTCTCCAGGACAATGCAGACAGTAGGACAACGGAGAGAGTAAGAATAGAGTTTTGCACAAAACAGACACTCAGTGAATACTGGTGGAATAAAATATACTCTACTATTACCAATGTATCTTAGGAGAGAAAAGCAAGAACTGTTTTCCAAGACAATGCTACAACGCATGCGCCCAATCTTTGAGGTCTCCGTCTGTGCCCAACAGCTCCTCATTCCTGCTGTGGGCATACAGAGGGCGCTCATTCCCGGGGACAGTTCCCAAAGTACCCCCACCTCCCATGACCACACCCCACCACGCCCTGTTCAATTTGCCACCAAATCCCTATCCCTATCCCTGCTCCAACAGGCAATCAAATCTCCACCTCCAGTCACTAGGGGGATGACTTAGCGCCACTACTAAATTCTCTGAGCCAGACTCCTCCGGGAGGTAAAGGAGGATGGGATAATACTCGCCTCTCCCAGCAGCCGTAACAGGGAGGTAATGTACTCACTACCTGGCAGAAAGAGTGCTCCCCAAGCTGGTTGCTCCCTTGGATATTGAAGGCATCACGCTGTACTGAGATTCTCTCTGCACCTGTCTCCCACCCTACCCATCCCAAGAATGTGGGCTCCTGGACGCTAGGATCCATCTCTCCGGGACCTGGAACAGCTGACTTCGCCCGCCAGGCCTCTGGGAAAACCCTGGGTGAGGGCTGCTCAAATGCCTCTAGGGACCAGGACTAACGGAAACGGGTGAGGCTGGCAGCGGGGCACCAGGAACTCCCAATGTGAGGTTCGCCGCCGCCACCCACAGCGAGAAGATTCCTGCCCCGTGAAAGCGTGGCCCAGGGTTGCCGGATGTTTCTCCCCGCACCACCCTAGAACCCAGAAAGTCTGATTCTGGGGTAAAGCGTCGCACCTTTTAGACGCTACCAACTATCTCAAAAAAGCTTACAGACCAACCAAGACGCTACTACGGGCTGAATCTGGCCTTCAGTCGCCCAGTTGAGACCCCTGTACCTACTCCCAGACCCGCCAGGGGACTGAGGTGGCATCCCCACCGGCCCTTGGGAGGCCAGGCAGCCACTTACGAAGGATGAGAAGGACGGGAGGAGGATCCTAAGAACATTGCACCCAAACACGAAGCTGAGCACCAGCAACCACGCCCAGTGGTCGGCCGCGGCTGAGCTCATCCCGGATACTCCTGACTGTGCTGGGTCCGCTACGGCAGCTCCATGGGGACGACGCCAGCAGAGGCGACTGCGCCTGCGCGGGTGAAGCCCAGCGCGCCTGCGCACTGCGTCGCCCTCGCAGGAGGCGGGGCCGTTTTTACCACCCGCTCCAGTTGGAGCGGTTATGTTCCAGGTTCCTCCTGGGCCTTCGGGGATTCCGTAGCCTTCTCGCACCCGCCCCCACTCCTACTGAACCAGTTTTTCTGACGTCCGTGTTTCTTTTTCTCCTTCTTTTTAAAATTGAAAACCTTATAGTACCAAACTCTGGTTTCAAGTGCTAACGACTCCCTGCTTTTGTCATAATTAGTACTTTCTTTAACTTTTAATTCTAGATAAGTTTAAGGTAAACTCTTCCATAAATAAAAAACTACCGTAATTATAGTAGCACGTAGCTGTCGTGTTCCAAGCAGTTATGTAGAAAATGCCTTACGTTTTCGTTCCAGAACTAAACACTGTAGTAAGTCTAACCAATTTACACAATTGCATACCTGTAAAAATAAGTTTATTAGACTGCACTGTTCACAATCATTAGTAATAGTTAATAAAGTAACCTGAATCTAGGTGAAGATCAGGTTTTGCCGCAAAAGAATCCCAAATCAAATGTATGCATAGTGGGCAGGGCGCGGTGGCTCACGCCAGTAATCCCAGCACTTTGGGAGGCCGAGGCGGGCGGGTCACGAGGTCAAGAGATCGAAACCAGCCTGACCAACATGGTGAAACCCCGTCTCTATGATACAAAAATTAGCTGGGCGTGGTGGCGCGCGCCTGTAGTCCCAGCTACTCGGAAGGCTGAGGCAGGAGAATCGCTTGAACCCGGGAGGCGGAGGTTGCAGTGAGCCAAGATCTTGTCACTAGCACTCCAGCTCCGGCGACAGAGCGGGACTCCGTCTCAAAAAAAAAAAAAGAAAAGGTATGCATAGTGGATAAAACAAGACATGTTCAGCTGTCTCTTCTGCCATGCTGCCATGGCTGGTTTCTGAGGACTAATTCCTAATCAAAATGATGCAAGATTGCGGGTACACTGGCTCATGCCTGTAATCCCAGCACTTTGGGAGATCCAAGCAAGGTGATCACGGGCCCAGGAGTTTGAAACCAGTCTAGGTAACATAGTGCGACCCCATCTTTACAGTAAAATATAATTAGCCGGGCATTGTGGCACGTGCCTGTGGCCCCAGCTATTAGGGAGGCTGAGATGAGAGGATCGCCTGAGCCCAGGAGGTCGAGGCTGCAGTGAGCTGTGATCACACCACTGTGCTCCAGCCTGGGCGACAGAGTACAACTCTGG